GATGTGTATCAAAGTGGCACAAGTACAAATAAATCAGAACTTACCTCTGGATCAAGGATATCTGCTGGCCAAAACCACCTTTCATCACTGGGATCTTTCACCCTCAATTTCCATTTAAAATTATAAGACACTAATACAAAAAGATCATCATCATAATGAGTGACCAACCATGCATTTTGGGCTTCCCTTACCAATGTTCTTCCTCAGAACTGGCATTTCAAGTATCAAGTGCCCACCCGAAGAGTCTACTTAAGTCACAATCATACTTTATAGAATCAATATATTGTAACAGATTTTATACAATTTACATTCTACAAAATTGTTTGAATTCCAAAATTATTTTAAGTTTTTATATAATTTCTAACTTCAGAAGGCAGCTACTTTCCAAAGTATTGCACTACAAATGTTCAATGTAGTGAAGCTTCAGAGATGCTGGCAGCAGCACATGGCATCTATATCATCTTTCAGAACAGCTGACAAGTTACATGTGCATCCTCCAATTACTTTCTTTAAGCTGTCCTCTTACACCTGCAACTTGTAAACAATAGTATTTATATAGAACATTCCCACTAAGGTGCTCCACCGTCATTATGAGAACATTTTATTTTTAAAATTTTCTATAGGAAATAAAATCTATTTCCTATAAGACATTCATTTTCTCTACCTTAGATATAAACTGAAATTGATCAGAAAGTCTTACATATATACACTGACACAACTCCAAACTGAAGGAATGAGGAGTCAGTCAGCATGGAGAAGTTACAGACAGGATAGCAGGCTGGCACATTTGCTGTCCTTAAATATCCTCTACCTTCAAAGCAGGACCTATGATAAACTAGTCTCAGTAGCAGCAGAAACATCATCATTGTACGTTTAATCAACTTCATAAAATTTCTAAACAGAGCATTTTTTACTTCAGGAATTTCAGACTTTTGTAGTCCACGCTCTCTCCTTTACACATGCTGTATGATCCCAGAAGATGACAATACTACACAGAAGAGCTAACTGGGAAGTTTGTCATTGTGGTCTTCCTTAATTTGTTTCAAAGAAGCTGCCTGCCCTGAATTAATTTCTTGCTGACAGGAAGAAAGTGACATTGATGCCAGCTTGCCCACCTGAGCTATTTAGAAGAAAAAACCAAAACTAAACCTACACTCAAAAACCAGTTTTTTAAAAAAGAGTTAAAAATAAAAAGCAACTCCCCGTAGGCACCAAACTTCTGGCTCATGGAATCTCTTCCCCAAAAAATTATCTTTCTAGCAAAGTTCTCTTGGTCTATTGTATCACTAACAAATCAATGCTAGTCCATCAAACCATTAAAGTATGCCAAGCCAGCTCAAGTGGTTTGGGGCAAAGGCAATTTGCTGTTGTCAGTAATCAGCCAAATACATAGAACATAAAAGCATTAGTCAGTGCCTCATGTCCTCCAGTGTGTCTTTTGCTTAAAGGGGTTCAGAACAGTTTACTTAGCTGACTTCCAATATTTATTACATTATTTAATTTTGCTACTCTCTTCCCAGGGGGTCTAAAAATAAAAATTTGCAGATCCAATTCTACTGGGCTTTTTTACTGATGCTCTTCTGAATTCACTATCACCATGCCAGCAGCTGCACTCCTTTCCAGTTCCAGTGCATATGGGTTATACTCTTCTTCAAGTTTTCTCTTCCAGATTTTAACTAGAGAATATTAGAATAAAAAAAACAAACAAAACCATAAACAGATTACTCTATAATACTTGAGGAAAAACTTAAAATGAAAAGCCACACTGATTTTCTATCTGCTCCTCAAAGTAAGTGCTGAGGTAAGTTGGCACATAGATGTGTTGCCATGTACATCAGGTGACATCAGATGATACATGAAAGAATACTTTAGGAATGATGGGATCCATTGAGGTCCTTGTGTCCAGCCCCCTACTCAAACAAAGCTAACTCTGAAGGTGTATCCAACTTTTAAAAACCTCAGAAGTTTTCAAAACTTCCAAAGAACTTTTAAGTTGCCTACTGTATAGGTGACCATATGAGCATGGCTAGAGGAATGTCTTTCTAGAAGTGGCAGGCTTTTACTTTTGGACAGGAAGATGCATCTCAAACAGGCTTCAATACAAAAATTAAGTCCACCGTAGTTACAGAATATGTGCTTCTAGAAAAAAACCTTATGAAGACTTTGTAACAAATAGAAATAATATGGAGCTCTGTTAAACCTCCTTGGACAAAGGAGTGAGTACTGCCTGCCATCAGTGGATTTCAGAGGAATTTCTCTCAGACTTTCTCAGCAAGAGCTGACCTCAGGTTTATAAAGTTAGTGTGGCAAGGGGAAATCACAGAAAAGCAGAATTTCCCCCCTCTTACTAACCACTGCAGGGTCAGGTGTCATTTGTTTCAGTGCAAATGGTAGAACCGAAGAGCACTTTGAATGAAATCTGAACCAAAAACAGGTCAGGAAATACTCACTGTAATTTGGTACATCCTCATCCGAGTCCTTGGAAGACACTTTACCAGTTTCTGATAAGCCATTTTTTTCATATTCAGTGGTTAAGATGGTGGATTGGGTTTGTCTAAGTCCTCCTTCAGCTTCTTCCTCTAAAGCTGCTATCATATCTTTGTAGGCCTTCCTGGCCTCTGTTGTCAGTTGTACCATTCTATGAAAATGGTCCTATGGAAATATAAAATATTAGTAGAGCTTAAATCATACAGGAAGTTTTAACATATCCATGAAAATCTGCAATGAATATTCCTTATTCAGAACATAAATGTTCACATATAGAAGCATGTATAAAGACATGAAAAATGATTTATAAGCATTTATAAAAACTCCAATTATCTTAGAAAAAAATTTTGAGAAGAGGTCTAGATGGAGAGGATGTTAGAAAGAGACAGCCAAACTACTTTTTTGAACAGCGCTGAGTGGCTGTACTTCTAAAATCAATTTTTTGTGTAAGCCACTCACCTGGGATAAGAGTCTAAGTGTGCAAAAGCAAAACAAATAAACAAAACCTTAAAGTCAGAATATTTTTTTCCCTTACAGGTAAAAAGTAAAGCTAAACAAAACCATGAACCTAGGTATTTCAGCTTACCTGAGCCCCATCGTAGCTAAAAATTCCCACCACACTCACAGGCACTGCTTTGTTCACACAGCGCCCTAAGGCCTTGCGATTAAGAGCAAAAACAAACGGGATATTCTGTTCACAGGCGCAGTCGATAATGTTGTGTAGAGTCTCATCCAACCCACCTGGAGCAGACAACAGAATTAGCAAAAAATGACACTATTCAAGCTGATTATAACTGAAGGACAGTACTGATAAAGATGGCAAAAAATACCCTGAGATTATGCGTTTATTTTGAAATTAGAAGAGTTTATACAAAAAAAATACATGGATCTCGGTAACAGCATTGGATCTCCATTTTCAAAGGAGAATTTGCCAATTTTTGTCTTAGTTCTTAATTAGCAGTATCCTTAGACTGCTACTATTCCATACTTAGTTATGTGTGTAGTATAGTCTAATGTAGTATTAAAAAAAGACCCAGCTGCTAAGAAATTATTCAAAAGTTAATCAAAAGTAATGACAGTAATTAAAAAAAATTTAAACAAACTATCACTGACAACTTACTGTTAATCTGTGGCCTAAAAGAGAATGATACAGCAGGACTTCTCGTGGCGGCACAGCTGGCACCAGTAATCTTTGTCTCTTCTCAGCTGTGCCAGTGCAACCTTTTGTGCAGCTGCACTGCAAATCGGTCAGAAACAGACCCTAGTTTGAGGTAACGTCCCCCACCCCAGACAGTCTTGACTCGGCTCACATTTCAGCTGCACAGCAGTAAACAATCTGAAGGAGGAAGGCATCTGTGTATGACTGGATTTCAAAAGTTACTCAAGTAAGTCCCTCCAATAATAATACTGCTGCCAGTACAGTGAGGCTGCTTTTTAACATTTCTTTTCTTAAACAAACATTTTTTAAAAAAAATTATTTACCCTTTGACTGAATCTTTTCACAGTTAGGCGATATGATGACACATTTCAGTTTTTTCAGCTTCAGATGTTTCAAAACTTCTCTAAGACCCATAACAAGCCTGCGTTTTATCTTGGCCTTTACTGGGTCTTTCTGATACAAGCGATCTTGGAAACGAACGAGTTCTTTTAAGAGATCTGTCACACAACTGTCAACTTCTTTACTAAGTACCTGGCTGCAATAACTGGAAGAAAGTGTTAAAAACGCTAAAATTACAAATATGTAACACATACATAAGTAAAATAGGTAGAATATAAACACTTTACCTTCTATTCTACGTCTTTGTCTTTTTTTCTATTTCCACTCCAAACACACTTGTTACATACATGAAAACAAAAATTTACTTAAGATTTTTTTTGGTGGCTGAGAACTTAGAGTTTTGTTACTTGTGGTGTCTGGGTCCCATATCAAACTATACTAAAAATACATACACACATGTACAATAAACCTCTCTCTATATATATGTTTTATACCAGTAAGTATATACATACATATGTTTTTTCTATTGAAGCATTTTCCTGAGGGCATTTATTGTGACCACTACAAATCAAAGTACAGCAACCAAAGTAAAAAAATTCTTATTTATTTCTATAAATACAAGCCTACTTAAAACAAAGACAGAAATCTGGATCAAATTTTTCCTCCCCAGGTTCATATTTTTTGCCTGTCATCCTATTTCACTTATCAGACTACAGCCTTGTGGTGTTCATAAGGAAAAAGTAAAAATGGATGTACTTCATCTTTCTAGTATTGCCTGGGAAAGATCAGGGTTCCAAATTATTTTTTCCCCATCTCTTACACAAAGAATCATTCAGTAAAGAAGGGCCTTAAAGAGAAAAACTAAAGGTATCTCAACTGCACAGTCAACATAAAGATACCAAGTGGCAAATTCACATAAGAATATGAGAAGAGATCACAAGATCTATCCGGCATCTCAAGAGATACATTTATCTCAAAATTTTATTTAAGTTACAAGAGTTTTTATTCACTATTTCGAGTTGATTTCTCTAAGGCTCAAAGACAAGTCTACTAAAACACTGAAAATCTAAAGACATAAAATATTCTAAGCTTTGCTGAATGCTCTACATCCTATAATAGGTAGAACTGAGTTGCCTGGTACATATTCAACGCAAACTGTGCTTTCAGTAAAACAGTGTTACATAGACACAAATTATTTTTTAATGCAATTAAAATTTAAATTAGCATCAGGAAGATAAAGAATGGCTGTATCAATATTAACCTTTATGATAACAAGAATTGCACAAAGGCACAATGGTCCCTTTATGGTAAGAAGACTAAAAGTTAAAATACTGGTTACCTAAAAGTGACTGTTTTAAACTGTCATGACTGCATCTCTGACCTCTTCAAATACAGTAATGGTTATTTCTATTTTTATAAGGAAACATCTGCTTAAGTAAAACTGAAAGTGTTTGCACGTAATAACCCATCAATTTTCTTTACCTAGCCACAACACGAAAATGTCATCCGGCTAGTCACATTCTTTAAATTTTTGGCATTTGGTCTGGCAGCAGAAAACAAAAGAACACACTAAAGGTAAGTAAGGTGTACCACTCTTTCTTAAACATTAAGCTGATACTCCATTTATTTAAAATAAGGTACTTACACTTTAACAGCAGGTCCTTTTCCTTCCTTAGCTTCTAATGAATTCCTGATCTGTTTTTTTCCTTCAAGGAACATGCATTTTGAAGTAAAAATTACAACAACGTACAGACTATTTCTCTGGATATAATTTAATTGTTCGTTTGTGTGTCACCTTACAGAAAAACTGAAAAAAATTTTAGAACCTTCAGTCTAAACTCCAATTAGTGTTGCACAGAAAGCAACTGCAGCATCTTGTTTGAAAAAAGCCGTATTGGTGGTACTGTGGAAAAACAGACATCAATAAAATCAGTACTTACTCTCTAAACTTCCTACTGTGGATTTTTGGAAGACTGGAGGTGAGCTGCTTTGATGCCATAGAACCTTCTGTAGATTCCTTGATCCCTGTGTTCTCCAGAAGCCCTTCAGCAACTTGTGTTACAGGAACAGCTATCATGTAAATAAAAATATTTCAATGAAAAGACAGACCAAAAAGCTACAAGGATATATAGATCTCCTCCCTCCTCCTCTGGTGGGATGGGGAGGAAAAGAAAAAGGTAAAACTCATGGGTTGGGATAAGGACAGTTTACTGGGACAGCAAAGGAAGAGGAAACAACAGCAATACTTATAACAGAATATACAAAGCAAGTGACACACAACGCAATTTGCTCACTGCCCAGAACATGATGCCTAATCCATCCCCAAGCAGCAATCCCTCCTCCCCAGCCAGCTCCCGTTCCTTATATACTGAGTGTGACAGCATAGGGTATGAAATATCCCTTTGGCTAGTTTGGGTGAGCTGTACTGGCTGCGTCCCCTCTTCCAGCTTCTTATGAAAATTAGCTCTATCCCAGCCAAACACCAGGACAATTGACTATCAGCTTTGGCACACTATACATAAGCCCAAGCTGAATCTTACAAAGTTCTGAAGTTAGAGTTTTCATCTGGCAATATTTAGTTCATAGTCTTGAAAGTACTAAGCGTGCTCAATCTCAAATCTCCATCTACATACTGCATTATAGCCTTCTCTTGAATGGTACCTGCTTGACTATCCTGCAGAAGCAATTTATCTTCAGTAATATTTTCTCCAGACTGACAAACATCATCTTTTGGTACTGCTGTCTGTTCCAACAGGTGTTGCTGTTTTCGTTGTTCTCTTTCTTTCAGAATAATCTAAAATATACATACATAAAAACCAAATTAATTCAATGTCACATAGATAACACGGTAGTTTCTCTCACCAAGTGTTTACATACAGAAGTTTGGTACTATCGTTCAAAGTCTACAACGTTTTTTTTTCTTAATTTGCACATGAAAAGAAGAAAAGATATTCCCTACTCTACATAGAAAAGGACTTTTTCCTTGATTACCAGTGTCTGGGTGGAGAAAATAATTACCAGGGATCAAAAACTACACAGGCAGAACTAAGGTTAAAGTGATAAATTGCTTCAATGAAGAGAAGCAGGTGAAAAAGTCTCCCTCTTTACTTCTTCAGACTGTCAATTTGTAGCAATTCAGCCACACACTCAAGTACATATATATATATATATGCACAAATATTCTTCCCCCTTATTCCCCTGTTAAAAATCGTGAGTCAGTCTAATACAATGCTGTCTCTGAATTTGCTAGTTGAAGAAAAAGAGAATGTATAGCTAAGCCATATGGTACCCGGAAGGAACACAGGACATTATGTATCCCAACATGTTATCATAGGTGAAAGCAATCATCAGTTTCCTGAAACTCATCTTCCTTTCTGCTTGCATAGCTACTAAGAAGCAGTTATTGTACAGATGACCACTAGCTCAACTAATCTACCCAAAAATTTTAATTAATTATACCACAGAATCTAATTGTGAAAGTAAATGTCTCCATTTGCATTTGTCAAAGATGAACAAAGAAGAAAAATAAGGTCCCTACCACACTCAGAACACAGACATTAATTACACAGACAAAGCAATCTTTGTCTTCTCAAACCTACTTTGGAAAATAGATGGCATGAAGATAGAACAGCCAGAAGACACAGTAATTAGTATCACCCCCTGAGAGTTTGTTGTATGTTGTTTACGTTGTATAGCTCTCAAATTCAATTAAGCAGCACAGAATGGCCACTAAACTACCTTCACTAGCCCCACGAGAATTGCTCTAGACCAAAAAGTGACCTAGCAATGGAGTGGTATCTCAAAATCCTCTGTATAGAAGACATGACAGGAAGCAACGTGAATAGGCAGAGAGGTAAGTTACAAGAGAAATCACCAGGTGGATCTAGCACCAGCTACTGCAGAATCAGCTGAAGTTCTGCCTTTGAAAAGCACAGAAACATCAGATTCTACTTTTGTGTTATCCATTCTCCCCAGTCCTGCAAACAAACATATCTTGTCCAAAAAAAAAAAAAAAATTTCTTTGGATGTCACCCTGTACCAATGATGTGCGGACGCTTTTGTAGTGGTACTTCTTCAGCTATCAAATGATTTATGTAAGAAAATATATTTTGGGGGAATCTGTATATGCTATTTAGCAAGAATCCCCTCTTCTTCCCCCCCGCCCCTTTTAAACCAAGGAAAGCTAAAATTGAATTTAGACAAGTGGATGCTGAGATGCTGATCTCCATACCAGAAGGTTTAACAGACTTGCAGAGTAACACTGAAGGTAAAAATATGAGCACCTTTTTAAGAGGTGTTGGTCTCTTTGCTTTAGGGACTTCTCTCTGTTTCCCTTTCTTTACCAAAGGAGCGCTGGAATCCAAAGGGTTATGAGGCATCTTTCCTTGGTTCAACCGGTGACTTTTTGTGGCTGTAGCAGGTTCTTTAGAAAGCAATGGTATGGCACCACCAACTGAGATTAAAAAAAAAAGTATGCATCAGACAACTGTAACAAACACCTAAACTAGATTCCAATGCAAGTTTAATGACTAGATTAGGACTAGTATACACATATTAAATTTGTGTTGTGTTGCTATTCCTGTGTCATTAAACAATGTTATTTAATAACAATACTCCTCCCACAAGACTCACATGTCCTCTACTTTTATTATACAACTCCAATGACAAGCGCTATCCCTGAGCTCTCAAAAGTAGAATTTGGGAAAACACTGTGCTGCTCCAAGTTACCTTCAATGCCATGCCATGCCGGCTTGGCAAACCTTCAGGAGTATCCATGTTTCATGGTAATGGTATTTCCTCCCTCAGAGATTCTGTACTATGTTAAGATAAACACTGAGTTGCTGTATTAAAGATTTTAGATTTAATTGCTGTAAATAATCTGGAGCATTTCCTCCTACCATTTGTTACACCTTAATGAAATTGGATGAAGTTCATTTGCAGATGGGTAATGAGTAATGGAAAGCTACAGCTAAGTCTCTTTTGCTTAACCAGCAAAGCTCTCAGGAGATGTCTACTTTACTTGCATTCTTCAGAGGGTTTAGAGCACAGAAGCTTTAAATGACTGGCCGAGTCACTGAACCTGGTCCTTCCAAACCATGACCTCACACCCTAAAAACTACACTCCCTTTGCAACTGCTATCAGTAAGAATTGCTGTATCCTGTGAGAGTATTTTGTCAAACTTCAGTTACCTGCAATATAAACCAGTTTACATTAGCAAGTCAATGAAGAGGATGATGTAAGTATCAGTGGAATGAGCTTGACACCTTTACGCCTCAGGCAATTTTTTTCCCCTAAAAAACACCCAAAGCTTCTGGCAGCTTGTCTTAAGCCATCTTCATTTACTGCTTCCAAAGTATTTATATGCTGATCCTCCAACACTACCTTCAGTACTATTAGCACAAAGAGTTTACTTCATAAAACTGCTACACCACAACTTCTCTTTTTTGGCTCTGTGTAACAAAGGCAAATTGAGAACACTGCCAAGAATGTTGTGCAGTATATGTCAGCATAAGTGGCTACAAGAATTGAAGCTGGATTTGAAGCAATACATAAGTATACATCCTGCAGACACATGGTATTTCCTTCACTGTGTACATCGCTTCTTCCTTTCAAATTCACAGAGTTCCCACGTTCATGTTCCTGAACTTGATCGCTTTAACAGTTCGTGCCGTTTTGCATGACTAATGCATTTCCAAAATGTAATTTAAATTCAGGTTACAGAATGACAGAATGGCAGGGCTTGGAAGGGACCCACGAAGATCATCTAGTCCAACCCCTCTGCTAAAGCAGGTTCACCTAGAGCAGGTGATAATTACTGCTTTACTATGCTGTTCCATCCATGTTATTTACCAAATGAAGTAGTATGTGGAATAAAATAACTTTGTCTGCAGTCACACTCCTTGCCCGTCTTGTTCACTGTGCTTCTCTTCTGGTTACAGAGGTCACTTCACAAACCAACGTTACATTTTGGTACACACAAATTTATTGGGTGCACTGAATGTTAAAAAAAAGAAGTATAAAGCTGAGTAACATCTGCCTTATACTTCCAGGATATGAACATGACACATCAATTTCCCTTCTGCAGCAGATTCAGACACAGGCAATTTAGTATTAGAAAACAGGTATCGTGATCCGTAACTTTGTGCTCTACTATCTACTTGCCAATCCATGCACTGTATAGTTTTATAGAAACAAAAGTGGTTATTAGCACCTCTACAGCATTGAGGTTGACTGACTCAAATGAAAAAAGAGACCAATTGCAGAAAAAGAATTTAAAAAAGCATGTTACAAGTTCTCTCAGTAAGTGAAGAAAAAAAAAATCTCATTGATGCTTGGTATTTTGAGCTTTTTATTTAAAAGCTCAGCTATCATATTAAACATTGTGTGATTAATTCTCTCATGATTAGCTCTCTTTCTGAAATAATTAAAAAAAAAATTCTTTACTGAAATAAGGAGAGAAATTTTAACATCATTAAATTCTAGCAACCATTACACTTCTTTTTGCAAAATACACTGCACTAACATAGCCAAGACTAAGTTTTGACTTACAATGGAAAAAGACACCGAGCTATTTGTTTCGGCTTCCTGGTTATGCATCCACAAGGTCTGAAAGATTCTCTCCATCACCAAAACCTAGCATTTCATTAACAGCAATTATTTTACAATTATCAGGCATGGCAGAACTCATCCTTTGCCTTGGGCTGATTGACTCTCATAACCCCTGTGCTGCGAAAGAGGTTCTTCTCTCAAGTTACAGCTCTAGGATTTCTAGTATCAGAGGAGTTTAAGAAAGCCTTTGTTACTGTGCAGTGCCCTCCTGCAGATTCAGATCACAACAGCAACACGTATTTAAGACAGAGCAAAAACCTCTACAAATATTAGTATTTTCAACAAAGCTAAATTTCAATTACCTCTCATATTTATGCAAGGTATTCTTTTACAAATCATTGTCCTGAAGATTTTTTCCCCCCAAGTCTTCCTCCAAGCAATTCAGATTGCCATGCTTTTTTATTTTTTTTTTTAAAGAATCTTCATTTTCTCTTGTATTTTGTGAACTGTGCTCCCACCTGCACGTTCAGAGATCATTACAGCTCCAAAATCAGTCTACATTTAACTTTTGATTACTTAAAAGCAACTCAAGGTGAAAGAAAGGAAATTTCATCATAACCAATACCTGAAAACACCACAGGTTTAGAAGACTGTTTTGACTTCTCTGTTTGCTGCTTCTGCTCCAAGACTGCCAGCATGCCACCCAAATCCAACTGAACGGGAATTTGACTCTTCTTACCACTGCTCCTGGATGCTTCCTGAACAAGTTCAGTACCAATTAGTAATGGCCTCCATTTCAGAATATAAAGTGTATGGTATGTAATACATTCTTAACATTTTCATCCACGATACTTTTGATTTTTAACTTGATTCAACGACAATATTTTGATCTTTAAATACACATCAACTTTAATGTGAAAAATAAAAAAATCAGAAACAGTTCAAATAACTTTTGAATAGCTACTGGAATAAAGCATAAAAATACAGTCTTCAATAAAGGAGGTGCTTTATGTCAGGCTCCCACTTTGGTCAGACTGACACCTATCTTTGAAAAAGAAAAAAAGGCTGATCAGAATTGAAAGCTTTGTTAAAAGTGCAGAAAAACTACTCTCTGAATCTTCCAGGGTATGTGATTGCAATACACATATATATCATTATCTTCAATGCCTTATTAAAAAGAGAGGTCATCATCTCTCAGCACCACCTTCTCATAAGCAGTAATCTTTCTGTCTGCTTTGAAGAGAAGGCAAAAGCAGCATCCCACGCTTGGCACCACATTTAATGATTCAGACTATAAAAAGATTACAAATGAATAGTCTAGCAAAGACTACGAAAGGGCAAACTACAATGGCAGAACACGCTAAGGAAATGACTCACAGATTTTGTATTTTTAGAAGTCTTATCCTGGAGGATCAATTCCTTATAGCTTCTGTTACAATAGGGTTAAGGAATGTGACCTCCTCCTCCTGAGCCTAGGATCTCATCTTGCATCAGGGCTACGCCAGAACCCTCTCACCAACATGGAACTACTTACTGACCTCCCTGTTGCTCTGTAGTTCTCCTCCTTGCCCCAAGCTAAGTGGATCTCCTTGCCTCCTTGTCATAATCTGGCAGACCACTTTTAAGAGGTTGCCTACTCCTTAAGACAATCAGTTTGGATTGGATTTGTGCCATGATCAAATAAGACAGGTGAAAGGAAAGTTCCTGATACCTGAAACTCACAGACATTCATGAAAAGCTAGTATCTTTCCCATGGGGGCTAGCAATTACTACCACTGAGTGCTTCCAATCAAGAGGACCTTGTCACTTATCTCGAAGTATGAATGACAAAGTACGAATACAATCACAGATGAGCTTGGACTTAGTCTTAGATTTAAATACGCTAATTTCCGTTGTCATTTTGTCTTGTAAACATTTCAAACATGAAGTCATTTACCTGCATTTTCTTTCTTTCTATTATAGAATATGAAGCTTGCTTCCCTGACAGTCCATCCACCTTGGGAGTTCCATCCAGCGTGGGAGACCGACTATCCCAAGGCTCTTCGGGGAGTTGGATCTTTGAAATTTAGAGACAAAAGGTGACAAGGACGAAGAGAAAATATTTAAAGACACGTGGAAAAGGGTAAAGTGAAGATGATATTAAATTCAAATGGAATATAGATAGTGGGATTGAGCGCACCAAGTTCGCAAATGACACCAAGCTGAGTAGTACAGCTGATACACTTCAGGAAAGGGATGCCATCCAGAGTGACCTTGACGGGCTTGAGGAGTGATTCTGTGTGAACCTCAGGTAGGTCAACAAGGCCAAGTGCAAGGTTCCGGACCTGGGTTGGGGCAATCCTCAATATCAATACAGATGGGGGATGAAGGGATTGAGAGCAGACCTGCAGAGAAGGACTTGGGGGTAACTGATGGATGAAAAACTGGGCATGAGCCAGCAATGTGCACTCGCAGCCCAGAAAGCCAATTCTATCCCGGGCTGTGTAAAAAGAGGTGTGACCAGCAGATCGAGGGAGGTGATTCTGCCCCTCTACTCTGCTCTTGTGTGTCCCCACCAGGAGTACCGTGTGCAGTTCTGGGGTCCCCAGCACAAGAAATACATGGACCTGTCGCAGCAGGTCCAGAGGAAGCCCACAAAAAATGGTCAGAGGGCTGGAGCACCTCTCCTATGAAGACAGGCTCAGAGAGCTGGGGTTGTTCAGCCTGGAGAAGGCTCCAGGGAGGCCTTATCATGGCCTTCTAAAAGTGTGATCAATTGTTGGCTGCTATACTACTTACATAGACTCATGATTTCCTTCTTCTTTGCAGATTTGCAAGACAAAAAAAGCAAGGTAGCTTCACCTCCAAATATTTGTTACAGAGGAGTATGATTGGCTTAACGATCACGTCTCTACAACTTACATAAGCTTTGAGAGGTTATATCCCACTTACGCCTACGAAGCTAAAAGTTTTCTCTTGTTTGAGGGGCATGTCTCTATTGTACTTTATAACAAATCTGGTCTGAGCAATTACTGTGCTTTTTCACTGCTCCCTGTCAATGCAATCTACTGCCTCAAACAAAGCAAACAAGGGGGTTTTTTTGGGTTTTTTTTTTGTGTTCTGGTTTGTGGGGTTTCTTTTAAACTATTAATATTCACAGTGAAACAAAACCAGGGACAAAAATTTCTAGTGGCAAAACTAGTTTCAAAGAAACAGAAACCTGGAATATTGTCTTTATTATTTATTTGCTTTTCAAGAGCAAATGTATTTCCAATCCTTGTGACTTATGTTTGGGATTCATTCCCATATTGAATGAATTTCCAAATTAATTCTTGGGATTGATTTCAGTCAGGTAAGAAAAAAAAAAAAGCTTGGATTTATAATTGATGTTAGACTCAAATTCTTCCCCTTGCACAGCTTGAGAACAAAGTATTACACTGTTCAGATGCCCCTGAAATTTGATTAAATGAACAAATAGCAAAGGCAGAAATTGAAAGAGTCTTAGCATTATTTTTATGAAATACAAAATTAAACTAGAATACTACTTGTAGGAAAAAAACCTACACAAACACAATTCATCTCAATTTACTTTGAGTGTCCACAACAGAGGTGTCTATATTGAAATTAGTAGCTCAGAGTTTAGGCAGCAGCTCAGAGACCAAAAAGGTATCTCCTTTGGAATGACATGAATCTACTGAATACAGTGAGTAGCTGTTCACTATCCACAGAGTACCTAAGGGGACTGCCAGGGGCAAAGCCCTACATCATAAGCACCTACGTTTAGTCAAAAGAATTCCACTTTTAGTCTCATTTAAACCTAGCAATCTCTTCCTGCTTATTTTCTTAACATTCACATAATGTCATATGACTACTTACTTCAGACTGCTTTCTGACAGCAGGAGTAAACGATGATTTCTGAGATCCTAGCCTGTTTCGCCTATCAGAAGCAGCTGCCAGATCAGGAAACTCCTCAGCATCCTATAAATCAGAAGATGATTTTATAAGAACTATCAAGTCCATATTCTGAAAATTGATTTTCCTACATTCAAACAATTTTCTCCCTGCTTATCAAACATTCACCATGATTTGTTTCACTGTACAAAAATTGTCAAGCACAGTGACATCAACTGTAATCAGCACTGCAATGGTTAATCATCTATGAGTCAGCTAATTCAGGGCTGAAAGAGCTTACAAGAGAAATACTTCCAACAGCAGCTTGTTATTGCTGTCAGCTGATACAAATAATTAGAAGTAAATGGCTCCTAAAGGAGTGTTTTTCAGATCATTTAACAGCCTTGCAAACAACTTCTCTCTTCTTCCAATACAGTCTCCAGCTGTTCAATTCTGCCTTAAACATGTGAGTAGTGAAGAACAAAAAGGGCAGGCAAAAGGGTAATAACTCTTGACTACAGTATGGAAATAAACAGATAAATCACTCAAGTGATTATGTAGTCTTAGACACAAGAGTAAATTTTAGTAGCAGAGGATACATTATCCAGACTCCAGATTAACTAAGCGCAGAGAGGCTGGAACTTGCTCTACACTAGTCACCTATCCACTATCTCAATCATAATGACCCTGATCCACCACCTTGGTTTTCATTCATCTTTTCCTCCTCCCATTTTGAGAGGCCTTTTTAGCTGTGATACAATACTACTGAACACACCAACATTTCTGCAGCGTGAAAGAGTTAATTTAAACAGCCCAAACTAGGAAGCTCTAGTATAAGGATGGACACACCTCACTCAATGAACTATTTTTAACGAAGTTTGGAGGTATGCCAAAATATGACTGCAAGAAGGGGAAAAATGTTTCACAAACAGACTCTTCCACCTCAGAGAAATGCTGAACCAGAGGTAGTACCTTGGCATTTAAACAGCTATCACTAGAATAAATTTCTATTTCAGTCTGTCCAATCACTTCTTGAATTCAAACAATTTTCTGGTATTTGAAACATCCTGTAGCAAAATGAGTAAATAAAATCTAGCACTCAGTGTGATTTGACACCTCCTTATATTTGCTTTTAACTCATCACCTATAAGAACCAGAGGAAATCAAGCAACATTAGGAGAAAGATCAAATAATTTCCTTTTTATTTCCTTGTCAGTTCCGACTCCCACTTAGCCATCTATTTTGCAGACTGAGAAGTTCTAGTTTATTCAGTCTTGCCTCCTACAGAAATTGCTTCATACCTTTGACTATTTCTGGAGCCTTTTCTCTATGTTTTTTAGTTCAAGCATGTGTATTTTTTTAAGAAGTGGGGGAAACACAAGAAAACAAAATCCAGACTGTACTCAGATTGGACATGTCCTAGATTTATGTATTGTCATAATCCATTTTATTTTCTATCTTCCTAATAATTCCCAGCACTGTTTGCATGTCTGACAAGTACTGCCAGCACTGACTTGATTATTAAGAGCAGCTTCAATTTTTTTCCCCTCAGGGAAAATACCTAGCTCAGGGCCTATCACTGTGTATGGAAAAAACAGGATTGTTTTCTTCCAAATGTATCCATTTATGCTCCTTAGCAGTGTCTATAAATTAATGACTTTTATAAAACTAATAAGCAATCCAATATATTGCTCCAGTGAGCTGCTGCACATAGAAGGACCTTCTTAAATCTCCTGGGTGCCCAGAAGTTCAATGTGGAGAAGTTCAATGTGTATGATCCTCCCATGCTTTTCTACTTCGAGAGCATCATACAAACACCTCACCCATTTTTCAAACTGATGAGCACACAAGCATTCCCAAAAAACCAGGAGGGTCTGAATGCTGACCCCAATGCCACAACAGACGCTGCAGCCACATCACAGATTTCAGTGCAATGCGTATGTCCTGTTCCATGATTCTATGCCTTTTTTTCCCCCTTTTTGTCTTCAATAGTCCCATTATCTTCCTACTATTTTCCATGACTCCTGCCATTCTCCCCCTGTTTAGATGAGAAATCATTCACAGGTCAGACATTGTATGGTAGTACAAAGTAAAAATGGGGATGTTCTCCTGAGGGAAAGAACCTGCCGATCTTTGATTCTACCCATAATTCTCTGACAAAGAGGTCTGGAAACAGTCACCTCTTGTGCTGTTCCAGGACAACGAACCACACAATGAAAAGAACGTGCATCCACATTTCTGCTCCGTGTTCCATGTTAAAATGTACAGAACAGAAGACAGCCAGGAAGGCTTCTTTATGCTGTCATTTCACAGACTGAACATTATGTACACTAGATCAGACATATAAATCAGCACACAGTGCTGTACAATACTGGGCTTTCAATGAAGCACTGTTAAACCATGGACCACTCAACAATTCTGTAATGTGAGAGAGTCTAAAGCCTTCATGATACTGATACATAGAAGCATCAAAATACTAATATGCATATTACAGCTGATGAATTTGAAAAAAAAAACCACCACCCTGCAACTAGCAATCAGAATGTAAGCAGTGACAAGTGTGTTACATAGAAATTGCTTCCCAATGTGAGATGGGTAGAATTGTAATACCAATACCACATTCTTTAAAACTGTGGCACACTAAGGTACCCTGTACTTTCCCTGTTCCTTGTGCATTTTGCTTTCTGCAAGTTGCTACACAATATTTTTAATTTAGGCAATTCGATTTTTATTGTTGTCTGTCAACACCCAGACCCTGAGACGCATCATTCCACATTTGCTCTTAAGTCTCTTCCATCCTCTTCTGTCTCACTGAATACATGGTAAGCCAAAAGGCACAACTGTTCCCTACCAGTAACTTCTGACAAACATATCAACTGAAATGGACCCGAACCAATATCCTCTACAAATGGGATTAGAACTTAAAGTGTACAAAGCTGCGTTAATTTCTGGTCTTCCAATACGCTCATAACACTTGAAAGAACAACAACAAAAACCTCTTCATTGTACCTCAATCCTTGGTGGTTCCTGTATTGTAGCAGATTCATTCTGAGGTTTCTCTACATCAGTGGGCGACTTTGTTTTTTTCTTCTTTTTCTTCTTTTTTTTCTTCCTTTCTGACCCTTCTTCAGGCTCAGTTTCACTAGCATCATTTTTTGTTTCTGACTGCTGAAAAAAAATCATGAGGCGTGACCACTGGAAATTGATTTATTTCAATACCACTTACCAAAGTAAATGCAAGTGACCACACTTATAACTAAAGGGTATCTTAATCAATCCAGGCTAGGACATTAAGTGGAAAACGAAAATTCAAGATCTCTTAGAAATTCAGAGTTACTACAAAACTCTTCATGTGAAGCACATTGTATGGTTATCAGAACATATCAGGACTACTGAGATTTCAATAGGAAATGTAAGACATAAATAAGGCCACAGCTCCATGTCTCATTCTGAGGGTCAGGAATCCGAAAAAAGTCCAACCTAAAAGTAATGTATTCAAATCAGCTATTTTGGAAGTAGCACTGTCTTTTTGACATCTGGTTATTCTTTTTCACTACAAGAGAAGAAAAATTCTAATAAGGACAAGGTATTTTTATATTACTTTTTAAAAGCTGCATTAGAATTGGACACTGTAAGGAGCCTAGGGAAAAAAAAGCCAATGTCTCACATCAAGAGACACAACCACACAGTGACAGAAATTAGTTTAAAGCAGACAAATCTCAAGTACCTTTGCTTCACTATCCTGCTTCCCTTTGCCTCTGGAAAGACCTTCAGATGCTGGTGATGACGCAATTTTCTTTGGGGGCTGTGAAAGTACCATGGCCCAAGACACATGTGGCTGAGCAGAGCCATCTGCAGGTGTTTCAGGAAATGCCGTTGGGGGAAAAAAGTGATATACAAAGATGTCTCTAAAATATTTCTCAAATATTCAAAAGAAAAAGGATCAGTAACCAATTAATCAAGGACTAGGAAATACAGCAGAGTGCCATATTACTTCTGAGGAAGAACTGAAATAAGACACTTACACATTTCAATTCTCCAAAAAGCTTTCTAGAATTGTAACTATTCCATATATTGCTGAGCACTATATACATAAATTTAGCCCAATTAAAATATAATTGGAAATCTATACCATATACACTAACTACGTTTAATTCCATGCTCATTTTCTAAACTATTTTACTTTAAAATAATGAACTTTTGCTATATTTATATATAAAACTCTTTTTAATACTTATCTCAGTCACACAGCTTTCAGATACAAGGCCACATCAGTATTTTCTATTTTCTAAAAAATTCCCAGTTTTACAGACATATGTACCAGTTGAAAGACTTCCTCATGTGCCTCAGTATACAAGAATTTCACCCACTACCACTTAGAGGTATTAATGTTTTGAAAGAACTCACAATTAATTTTGAAAACATTCCTAACACACAGCAATTCAAGAAAAATTTAGATTTTGTTCTGTAAGATTGAGAAAAACTTTCACTGAACAATTAAATAGCATAATGGGTTTACATGGCAAGGTTGGGTAGCGGAGGGAGGCTGCAGGGGTGGCCTTTGTGAGAAGAGGGACACTGCCAGCCCTGGTTTGGTTCCAAAATAGACCCAACACCAGACAGAGCTGAGCCCATCTGCGACACTGGTGGTACCTATGTGATAAAATATTTAAGAAATGGTAAAAAACACTGTGCAGGAGTTGTGAGAGGGAGAGGTAAGAAAAAATGTGAGAAAAACAGCCCTGCAGACACCAAGGTCAGTGCAGAAGGAGGAGGAGGAGGTGCGCCAGGTGCAGGAGCAGAGATTCCCCTGCAGCCCCTGGAGAAGACCACGGTGAGGCAGGCTGTCCCCCTGCAGCCCCTCAGAGGAAGGAGCAGCAGAGAGGAGCTGTTATGAACTGACTGCAACCACTATCCCTCTGTGCCACTCGGGGCAGGAAGGAGGTAGAAGAGTCAGGAATGAAGGAGAGATGAGCCTGGGAAGAACAGAGGGTGAGGGGAAAGTGTTTTTTGCTTTTGTTTCTCACAATCCTATCCTATTTTTAACTGGCAGCAAATTAATCTTTGCTTTGCCCATGATGGGCGACCAGTGAGCAACCTCCCTGTCCTTATCCTGATCCACAAGCTTTTTTATCTTATTTTCTCCTCCTGTGCTACTGAGGAAGAAGAGCGAGAGAGCAGCTGGGTGGGAATCTGGCTGCCAGCCAAGGTCAACCCACTACAAACCGCTACTTTATTCTGGGGAATAGGAATGGAGATTAGTGTTTGAGGAAAAAAACATTGTCAGATGACTTCAAAGTTTGTGGAATAACTTTATCTTTAAGAGGGCCCTTCAATGCACTTCAGCAGATTAAGTTGTGCTTTCTGAATCCTTACTGAAGTCAGTGGGAAGGTAAGGACCGAACTGCCCAGAGTGGTGCTTGTCCGTGTGTGCGCAGAAATACAGTGGGAGGCACTTAGACAATTCAATGCATAGTGCATGTGACACCTCCAAAACAGAGTCCTGCTGA